CCGAGACCCCTTCCGGCCTTACAAGCTATGAATGCACGGTGTCCCGTCCTCCTGCTGTGTCAGCCCGGAGCAGCTGAGGACACCCGGGAAATGCTTCTGAAGTTTGCAGGCCCGGTGCCTGACTCTGCTTCTCTCCCAGCTGAGTGGAAGTGGAGCATGCGAGTGTCACCTGCTCTGGGGCCTTTGCCAGGAGCTTTCCCGGCTTGCCAAGCATGCTGCACCACCTTGCTTCTACTCCCCTTCCTCCTCCTCTCCATCTCCCGAGCCAGCCAGCACCTCCCTTTCATGCTGCTGGCCGTGTCCCCTAAGCAGACCATTTGTCCCCTCCGTCTGCTTGGTGCCAGACTGCCCGCTGCAGTGCTAGTCACCATCTATTGCTAACGCCCGTCATTAGGAGCTGTTTTGCAGCTCTTTGCTGGATTCGCATCCACACAGGCCCGAGAGGCCAGCCAGCAAGCTCCAGGTGCATGGGAATGACTGGCGCTGTCTGAGAGCCAGGAGTCGGAGCTGCAGCGAGCCAGACAAGGGGAAGAGGAACTGGCGGTTGCTTCAGTCAGCAGGCTCGCATGTGCCCTCCTTGAGCGCAGCTTGAAATAATGCTCAGAAATCCAGTCAGCAAAACCAAACCCAGCCCCGGGAGGGGAGGAGGAGAAGGGCGGTGGTGGAGGACTGGTCTGGCGTCCAGAAGCAGCGCGGCCTTGAACGTCCCAAGTCCCGGTCCTCGCTCTGCCTGGGGACGCTGAGCTCTGACTGCACCCGAAGCCTCTGTGCGCCGGGGGTGTCTGTAGCGTGCGTGCTGCTGTGGGTGCCCTGCTCCCTCTCCATGCTGGGCGGAGGGCAGGCAAGCAATAAAGCCCAATTAGCACATGGCACAGATAACGAACGGCTTGCAATGTCACGTGGGTATGGCTACGCTGCTTCTGGTTTGGGAGATGGCCTGGATGCATTTTGAGGATGCGTCTTTGGAGCCTGGAAAGCTCACAGTGCAGCCACGGCTTTAGGGCTGTGTCTGATTTCCCGGGGTGAGTAGTGAGAGCAAACCGGGCCTTGACCCCTGCGTTGCGCATGCATCTGCTCACTGGTGCGTGCCACTTTGGTCACGGAGCGTATCGGTGCATGCACGTGCTTGTGTCACCTCCTGCCTGTCTGCACCACAGAGCTAGTACTTCCCACCCCTGCAGAGAGGCTGTGAAAAGCGGCAGAGTCCTCCTAGCCAAGGAGCTCCTTGCTACTAAAAAAAGCAATTGCACTTCAACTCTACAGCCCCCTGCTAGGTATCCCTCGAGGGGACGGATCCCTGCCCAGCCAGTGCCCAGTGGCTGGATGCTGCGTCGTGCCGCAGGGGCTTTCTGGCTGCTGCTTGGTGCAGAGCTGCCCTGGGCCTGGCAGCCGGCACGGACTCACGCAAGCGACGTGCAACTTTTCACCTTTTATTACAAAAATATCTCGCAAGCAAAAAAAAAAAGTTGAAGTTGGCGTCTGTACAAATAGTTCCCTAGCTGGTTTAGAAACATTGCATCTCCACCTCCCAGCCGCCCCTACCCCTTCCGGCCCTGGCAGGGTAGAGCAGCTAGAACAAAGTACTCCTGCCAAGCCTGTTGTGCCAGGCTGAAGCTAGATTCAGAGCTGCTTTTTATTTTCCCACTTGAACCTGCTTCAAGAAATGGTACCTCAGTAATGCCACGTGTTGGGAAGAATACATAAGAGGTCGACATTCGGGGCCGGGCTGAGCAGGGCGGTGGACCGGGCACCGTGCCGCTGTGCACCCCAGGCTGGACTTTCCTCCCCTGGAAACTTGAGCCCTAGATCTCTCGATGATCTGGGGAAAATCAAAGCCGGGGCATTGCATCCAGCCTCCCACACACAGAGAAAATGGAAGACGCCGCTTCTGAAAGGCAGCTCGCGGCTGCGTTTCCACTGAGTCACTTCTCCGGGGCTGTGGCGAGCCGTAAGCCTGCCCTGCATCGGGAATGCTTTGCAATCGGAAGCGCGCGCCCTCTCCCGCAACCGCCCGGCTAGCGCCAGCGGGGATCATAGAGGGCTCCTGACCACAGCCGGGCACTCGAGGGCCTCGCTGGTGCCCCAGCCTTCCTCTTGCACATCCTGTCCTAGTGCTACGTACACAGCAGTACACCCACACACGACACACACACACATTGGTTTGTAGCTCTAAAGATTAACAGTTACATGTCCAAGACTTGTACATTATCTCCGGGGGGATCTCTCCCCTTGTGCACCCAGGCTTTGCTCTAGCTGTTCCTACTCCCGGGATCACCTACGCCAGAGCCGGGGGCTCTCGAGGAACTGGCCGACAAGAAGTCCCGAGAGTCCGTGGAGCCCGGGCTAGTCTGGGCTCTGTGCAAGCTCTGCTAGGAAGCCCCTTGGTCCCAGGCTCCTCCTTTTGCAGGTGCTGATGACCAGGCCCCACCAAGGACATTGGCAGCACCCCTGGAGCTGTGAACACTTGGGGGAATTGGGGAAGCGGCAGTGCTCGGATCAAGGCGCTCCAGTGCCAAGAAACACCCTCGCTTTGTGCATCTCTTGGGGAAAGCCAGGGAGTCTCCACAGCCCTCGAGGACCCACATGTGTCCTTGGCACTAGTGGGAGACTAGACAAGACACAGGGGGCAAAAAGAGATGGGTGGAAGCGGAAGTGATTCATTCAAACTGAGCGCTTCCCTTCCCCGGGCAGCGCTCGGAAGGTGTCTGGGTCGGGGGGTGGCCGTGAAACTGGGCCTGACCCGAGCGCTCTTGTTCACCCAGGCTCTTGGGTCTTGAGAAGAAGAATAGTCGTCATCTTGGCTTGACGGAGAGACCTCTCCCCAGAGAGATGAATGGAGAGACCTGTTCTCAGAGCCCCCGCCTCGCTGGGCTGGGCTGCTTTCTACAGCAGTCCAGAGCCTGGATTGGGGCATCAGCTCCAAATTTGCTCCCAAAATATCCTCCATCCGGAGGGAGGATGAGTCAGACTGGCTAGTTTCCCCGTGAACGTGATCGGCTAAGGTGGCCCGCAGAGGATGCTGCTGGTCGCTAGAGCAACACAGCCCCTGCTCGGAGGAAGCCGTGCCGGAGGGCAGGCAGCGGTGTCGGCGCCGCACCGAAAACACAGTCCAACCAGTTAATGCACTTGCAAGGAAGCCCCGTGCGTGGAGCCCGAGGGACTCCAACCCCGCGGGAAGAGAAGCGTTTTATGGGTTCAGGGACAGAGCTGCGTGGAGTCTGGGGCTGTCTGGGGCTCTCCCAGGCACGCGGTGGAAGTCTGGGCAAGGCCGGGCATCCGCAGCGTGGCTGTCGCGGTCCAGTCTGGCCGAATGCTGGCAGCGTAGCTCGCGCATCTAGTGCGCTCCGGGAGCCCTCCTTGAGGATCAGGCCTTCGTGCCCGGCAAAGGAGGGGGCTGGTGGATTTTGCCCTGCGCCCAGGAGCCCCAGACAGCCACAGCCTTGCTCACTTCTTTTGGATTTGGACGCTGGCATACTCCGAGCCGGTCTCCTCCGGGAGAGGGGCCGGCCGCTTGGGGGCCTGGCTGAGATGCACCATGTCCAGGTCGGCATAGGTGAGGTTGTCCTCGTTGGCGGCCGGCGGGCTGGTCTGGATGCAGGCGTATTCAGACTGCTGGCTCATCTCGATGATCCGCCGCTGGTCCTTCTTCGCCTTGTCGAAGTTCAGGTCGGCGTAGGTCAGGTTGTTGGTGTCGGAGTCCTGTGCGGGGAGGAGACGCAGTCAGTAGGGAGCCGGCTGCATGGAGGGGTCTGGATTTGGCTGCTGGCTGACCTGGGGCAGCTGCTCAGTATCCCGGGATCTCAACCTTCCTATCTGTTATATGGGCATAACTCTGGACCCTACGTCACCCTTGACCAAAGTGCGTTGACGTTACTGGACGGCCAGTGCAGCAGCATGGTTTGGCGCTGGGTGTCTAGACTACACACCCTTGCCATTGCCTACAGCTCTTTACTGCTCAGTGCAATTGGATTACGGGTGTTGGATACTGCCTCCCAAGCCAGCTCCCAGTTCCTGGCTGCTTTGCTGTCCTTCCATCACCAGTCACAGGACACTGCCTGCTGCCTTCGGGCTCCCCCGGGGAATCGGGGATGTGCCGGTGCTGTGCACCGCAGGGCTCTTCCTCCCCGCTGCCTGCCAGTGAGCAGTGCTCTGAGGGAAGGGGCTAAATCCTGCAATTAGTGGCAGCTCTGGGTTTACAGGGCTGTAGCTGAGATCATGGGCTAGGTAGGATGCTCTGTCCCTAAAGGGCAAGGCTCTTCTAACGTTCGACTGGCTGCCTGGGCATACGTGAGTGGGCACACACACGGGTTTCGGTGGGACAGAAGGAGCTGGGGGCTGACAAGTGAGTTACTCATGGCTGCGTCAGACTCCGAAGCTCTAGAAATAGCTTCCCGGGGTGCTGGTCCAGCTGGTTCTGCTCGCAGCACACCCAGGTTTCTTCTTTGGGCAGCGGGGATGGACAGAGGGAGGAAGGGATTTGCTGGGGGTAGCCTCTGCAATGGGCACTGCTAGCATCTCTCCTCTGAACCATCTCCTCCACCTTCCTCACTCATGCAACAGGCTGTGTGCTTCATTATCCCGCTGCCGTGTTTCCACACAGGGGATCTGACCTCTCCTGGGGATCCCCCGCCACCCCGGTTAGAGAGAAACTATCATTACACACCTGGGGAGCTGTCCTGCTGCTCTTCTCAGACTCATGTAGCCTAAAGGAAAAGGAAGAAACCGGGATAAATAGATGCACTTGTTGCCTTCGTACAGCCGCGAGTTCGCAAAGCATCCATCACACGTTCATGCACAAGCATGGTACACCCCTGAGAGCCCGGGGGAGTTGGCTGTGCTGTGCAGCTGTATTTGTCCTCCTTGCACAAACTTAAGGGCCCCGTGTCCGTAGATGGAGGCTTCTGCCTTGCCACATCATCATCTCTGCGTGTCGTGAATCAGCTCAGTTAGGGAAGAGGTGGAGGGCTGTGCTCAGCCGGGAGCCTTAGGAAGGTACACTCAAGTTCATGCAATGTGAGGACTATTCCCCGTGAGATTTGTTAAGCCAAGGTTGCCACTTTGCTGGGCAATCTCTGGCTAGAGCTTTACAGTCGTGCTCTACCAGGCCGACTCCTGATTTATGAGCTAATCTTCCTTCCACAATGGCTTTAAAACTCCTCTGTGCCACTAGGGACTGGCATGTCTGTGGACCTCGCTGAGTTTTCCACAAGCTCGAGATGGTGGATGCTGCAAAGCACCTGAATCCACATACGGGGGGGAAAAGCAACCAGGTGTGGGCCGTTGGAAACCCCGGCTGATTTCACATTGCCAAGGCACCAACATACAGACCCGGCACCTAGCGCAGGCCTGACCTACTACTGCACTGACTTCCAAGATCTTTAATAAATTCCCCCCCCTTGGTTTCCTCCGCGCTTCAATGAGCAAAGCTGTACTTACCGAACGGAAGGGGAGCTTTTACCTATTGAAAAGAAAAACAAAAAAAACACCAACAGTTTAGGGCACACGATTACAGCACTGGGGGACTTTTAGCCCATTGACTCAAGCTTCTTCAGAGGCAGCTCCGTTGTGGTTTCCAGAGCCCGAATGACTGCGCCTTCCTGAAAGTTCGCAGGCCCTGCCACAAAACTCCTTTCTGCCAGCACAGAACAGAAGCCTTGGGGTCGTGAGTCATGTGCCAAATAGTTCAATTGCATCTGACTCACAAATGCAATATTGTGCTTAGCCTGGGGGGTTAGCATGAGCGTCCCTTCCTCGCTTACACCCAGTAGCCTCTGGTAGGAGAAGGGAGTGGTGTTGGGTGTGAGAAGGTTGGTCTGTTCTCAGATGCTCTGGATGGCACTCTCCCCCGTACCTCGCCACGTTGGGTCTCACATGTTCAGGTCTGGGATGAATCTCTGCAGACAGCAGAGGGAGCAGAAGCCAGAGGGATTGTCTGGATGAGATCAGTGGTAAGACAGGCAAGTCTCAGCACTAGTGAGAGGTCCTTGAGTGCTTTGGGAAGCCCTGAGCGCACAACACAACCCATGCTTGCTGCATTTGATAGGAAAGGGGTGTTGTACCGGAGCCCCCCAGCTACACTGGGCAAAAATGGGCTGTAACAACCCAACCGGCTGGCTGAAGATGCTTTGAATGTACTGCACCTCTCCGGCCCCCTGCACTCAACCGCAGTCAGCCTGCCCTTCAAAGAGCCAGCTGGGGTGGGTGGGTTAGAACAGCTGGATGAGGCCTTTACTGGGGCAGTTGGCATGAGCTGAGCCAGCTGGGCTGCGTAAATATGGGGCAAGCATCCAGGTCAGCCAGCCGGTTTCCCACAGTGTAGTGCTTTGTCTCTTGACACCTGGTAGTGCCCAGGGACTTATTACAGGCCTCTGAGACACTGGCATTGCAAGCTCCCAAGCACTGCGGATGGGGCCGGCTGGCCTGCCACAGAAAGGATATATCTGCTAGCCTTGGGAGATGGCACGAGCTGGCGTCAGGCGAGGAGGAGAGCAGTTTCTTGCCTGCCTTACCTCCAATACAAGCCAGGCAACCCACTGAGCACTTCCCGCAGCGAGTCACGGAGCTGCCTCTGGGATGTGCTGGTTGTGTTTTAATGGGACACGTCTGCCTTGGACGGCTCCGCTGCTCGTGTTAAACCCCTCTGCATGGGAGCAAGGACGTCTCTGCTTGTCTCTGGGAAGAGGGACGCTCGCTTCCACCTGCCTTTCTAAAACCACCTTGGTGGCCCTGATCCTCCCCATTCTCCTCCCGGCTAATCTGCTTGCAGCTTCCCAGGCTGGGTGTGAGCTGCTGCAAAGCACATGGCCCCTTGCTCAAGCAGCACCTTGGCACTGCCCAGCAGGTGCCTTGGAGCGTGATGTGCTGGGCCCTGGTTGCTATAGAGCCATCTGCCCTTCCCATTGTGCTTTTCCAAGCATGACTGATGCAATCCTCTTCCCTACGAACAATGAACAACGTCCTGGCTGCTGTTGGCAGCGCCTTCCCCTGCTCCCGTGAGCGCGGCCGAGCGGCTCCAACTTCGAGTAAACAAACTGGGAGCGTCCGAACCCGCCTGGGAAACGCACTGAGTAATGAAGTCACAAGGCACTCTTGTGCCGGGTGCTTCGGCTTGCAAACAAGGAGCTCTTTGGTGCCGCTAAATGCCGCCCTCAGACCTTAGGGGCAGAAGCATATCAGGACTTTTAAGGGATTAGTCCAAGTATCACTGCAATGCCCTGTGGCACATGGCTGTCCACAGGTGAGGTCTCTGCAGGTCCTAAATAACCTGTTCTGCTGCCGCTCCTCTCTCATTACAGCTGCTGTAACATCATAACAGCAAACTGCAATTTTTAAAGACCCTCCCTGCTCCCAGGGGAGACCTGTGTAGCAAGCAGGTCCCTTTCCCCTCCCGCCTGCAGACACTTGCCTTTGCTCTGCTTAGCCCAGATGAGGTAGATGACCGCCACCATCAGCAAGCCCAGTACGAGGCAGACCACTCCCACGGCGATGTATATGATCTGGACGCCGTTTTCGCCTGCAGGAAGAATTTTGGGATTATACAAGGCAGGTGTCACAGTGCTCAATTAGACAGAAGCAAATTAAACACAGAAAGGCTGGGCTGCAGTAAAAATGGGCCAATGCCATCCTGTTCAGAGCCAGATAGCGTAGCCAGCTGTTAAGACATTGGGTTAGAGACAGGCCTGTGCTAGGAAGTTGATGGGAGCATCCAAGTCTCTGACTAGTGTCCGTTAGCTGCGGATGAGGTGTGTGGGATAACGATCTATCTAACCATGCCGAATTGATGCAGCTTTCAGAGAGGGGATAGTCTACGTCCGATGGGTGACGTTCTCTGCTCATGGATGCATGCCTGCACCTTTGCTCTGCCATTGCCGGAGAGCTCAAACACTACACGTGATGGGCAGCGTCCTCCATCCTCTCCATGGGTGCATGCTGGGCCTTTTGCCACGTTTGAGAATTGAAAAGCAGCTGAACTGCAGTGCAGGCACCTGCCGCCACGACTTCCTAGTGGTGTGTACTACGCCGCCCCCCTGTAGCCCAGGAACATCCTGTGTGCTGCCCGCTCTGGTGTGCGGTGTAGCTGGTTGGCAGCAGCTGTAACTTGTGGTGTGGCCGGTGGACCTGCCCCAACTCCTAGGAGAGTAAAGGCATGGTAAAGGCACCTTGGATTACCCGAGGTTGCTCTCCAAGCTGCCGTTCAAGTTGGGGTCCTCCCTCTGGAGAGGGCTTTAGCCCTCAGGGTCCTAGTCTAGTGTCCAGCTGCATTCCCACCCGGGTGAGATGGGCATTTTGATGGTCCAAACAGGGAAAGAAGCCAGAGGTCTTGTAACTCCTGGGTTCAAACGCTGCATGGGGCTTAGGTTGGCTGTTGGCATCCAGAAGATGCAGGATATGGACACCAACCACCCATGAGTCCTAGGGAAACCTCGGGCTGCCAAACACGGCTGAACCTGAGGCTCGCAGGAAACATGGGCTCGGGTCCATTCCAAGGGAAGATGCAGCCTGGTTTGTGACCAGAACCATGCTGGGCTTGCCGGGCTCGGTCTTCTGGTGGATGATGCTGGATGGCTTCATGAAATGCTGGGTGCTTCCCATCAGGACTCCCTACCCTGAGCTCTGAGCGCTAGGGCAGTAAGGGCCTTGGGCTCGAGCAATGTCAGTGACCCCAGCACAGCTGGGAGGCACTCACCTTCCTTCTTGTCCTCCTCCATCTTGTTGCTCGTCGCGGTGACTGCCAGGACGCGGGTGACGCTGGCGGGGGGCTGGGAGTCGTGCACGGCCCGGCAGGTGAACGAGGACTGGTTCCTCTGCTCGGTTGCCCTCACCTCCAGGGTCCTCGTCAGCGAGAAGGTCCCGTTCGGGTTCTCCGTCGGGGATGGGGACTTCTCTGGCCCGGTCTCATTCCCATTCTCCATCCAGGTGAGCCTCGCCACATTGGGGTAAAACCCCACCAGGCTGCAGGTGAACGCCACCATCTCGTTCACGGGGACGGCACCAGAGTAGTTGGTGGTCAGCCTGGGCCTGGGGGAGACTGGAACAAAACAGCCCTTACAGGGGAGCTCGTCCTGAGCAACTGCGGGAAGGTTGTAGGTGTGCGTGTGTGCGCTGGGGCTGCACCCCAGAGCTGAGGCTTGTCTCCAGGTCTCAGCAGGGCTCTGGAGCAGGCGCAGCCTCTCGTGCTGGGCCCCTGGTGTGTCGCGGGGGTGCAGAGCTGTGCACCAGACCCCTTTGCACACCACAACCCTGCCCCACAGAGACCCCGGGGACAGGGAACATGTTGAAGTGAGCGCAGGTAACGGGGTGCAGGAAGGCGCAGACTCGCCCTCCCCCTGGGGATAAAACCCCACAAACCCTCGCTCTCACTGCGTGGTTTAAAACGGGGCTGGTGCCGCACCCATCAGCCCCCATGGGCAGAGCACCCATTTCCAGCCTGCCTAGCAATGGGAGCACCCGGTCTGGCCCAGCCGGCTCCTCACCTCGCAGGGCCTGGCTGAGGTTGTACGTCTCCTGCAACGGAGCCGACATGGTGCTGTGCTCGATCTGGCAGGTGAGCTGGGAGCGGATGTCCCCGACCGTCAGCGTCCTCACCAGGGTGCTGGACACGCGGTAGGAGACGCTTGCATTCTCGGGGAGGATCTGGAGCGGTTGGGCTGGGAGCTTGGCCCCGTCCTTGAGCCAGGTCACGGCGATGTTCCTGGGGGAGAACCCTTCGGACGTGCAAGTGAAGTTCACGGGGCTGCCCAGCTCGACCCTGCTGGTGGGGCCGGACACGGATGGGGCAGACGGGCTGGCTGCAGGGAACAAAGTTCGTTAGTCAGGTCTCTGATCTTGACAGCCTGGAGGAGCGAGGAGTCTTTCAACCCCGTCCCTAACTTATGGTGTCTCAAGGCCCCTGCAGCAGCTGGAGCTTGAGTTAGAGCCGGCCTTCCAAGCTACTGCTCCTTGCACTGGTGCATCGCAGCCCAGGGCTCTGGCACCAGGAGCTTTGGGAAGGAGAATGAAAAAGGCTGCGGGGATGGGCAGGAGTCAGCCCGGTGCTGTGTCTGCAGCTCAGTTCTGGCACCGCGATCTGACAGCATCGTGGGCCCTCACTGCTCATCAGCTCCGCGGTGCCCCCGGCACTGGGCAGGCAGGGACCAGCTCCAGAGACCCTGGCTGCTGCTGCCCCAGCAAAGACTCCCTCTATTGCGGTACCCTTTTAAGTCGTGCGTGGGGCTGATGCCAGGCTTACCCACCCGTAGTTACATGCCTGCTCTTGCCCTTCCCCTCCCCAGTGCCTCCAGCATAGTCTGGAGAGATGGTCTCAAGGGCAAGGTTAGAGACTTAGTTTTCTGTGCCCTGATCCCGACCACCCTCGCTCCCTGCCCCCGTGAACAGAGAGGGCTCCTCCTGACTCCTGGCTGTGCATCCCCTGGATCCCAGCTGGCGCACGGGCAGCAAGGTGGGCTGTTCCTGCCTGCTCTGGGCCCTAGCAGGCAGGCAGGCCAGGGCAGGGATGCACTCACCGCTCACGGACACCATCATGCCTGCTCCGGATCGGTACTCCTCATCAGACACTCCTTTCGTGAACTTCACGCAGTAATAGGTGCCGGCGTCCTCGGGGCGGACGTCACTGATGTGGATGGAGAAGTCTGTGAGAGAGTTGGGCACAGCCTTCGTGAACCGGGGGAATGACCCTGTATCTGTAAAGACGAGCTGGCGGTCGCCGCCCGAGCCCTTGAACCACTTCACTGGCCCTGCTGGTCCGCGCTGAGGCACGGTGCAGTTCAACTCGAGCGTGTCCCCCGCCGACACCGACACGGGCTCCTTGGGCTGCAGCACCTGGAAGTCCTGGCCCCCGGCACCTGCAATAGAAACGAACTTCATAATGCAGTTCTTGCCTCTTGTCTGCAGATGCCTCTGTGCCTGGTGCCAGGTTGTTCCCACAGCACTGCTGGAGGATTTACCTCCAGAGAAACATGCGAGAGCTCCCAGCCCATCAACGCCCAGATCTCCTCACCACCCAGGGACTGAAGCATGCCCTGGCAGTATTGCACCCCCCGAACCCTCTCACCATCACTTCCCTGGCTGTGCTGCAGCCTGCAGAGGGGACAGGTAAGCTGGAAAACGCATGCAAGGTTCGTCCTGCTGGAAAGCAACTGGGCGATGCCTGACTCTGTGGTCGGGACCCCGCAGCAGAGGAACCTCGACCGGGGGTTGTTTGTATCAGGTGAACGTTTCTAATCTTCGTTAAATCCATACAACTGTTGTGGTTGCTCTCAACTGACACGGGCAGACATAGCCTGATTCTCTTCTCACTTATGCCAACGGCACTCCCATGCTAATGAGTCTATGGTTTGCTTCCATCTTCTCTGCTCTTACACTGTAATTTGGAAAGCACAGACTATCATGCATTGGTCTCTAATATCACCGCTGTCCACTGAGCCTGATCCAGCCTCGGCAGAAGTGCAGCACAGTACGAACTTATGGGGACGTCCGATTCCTGCTCTCTGAACTCCAGCCAGCCGTGCCAGCAGGGACATCGGGGCCTGCACAGGACCCTCGACTTTATAGTAGGACAAGACCGCAGACGCCGATACTAGTTAGACCAGCCTGCAGAGCCAGGCTTACTGAACAGGCATGTGCACTTAGTCACACCATTACAAAGCACCATGCCAACACTACCCTCCTTATCCTCACAACAGCCCGGTGAGGCAGGTTGTATTATCCCCTCCCTAGCAGCAAAGTGAGAAGAGGTGCTTTAAAAATTATATACAGACCTGAGCCAAGCTACTGGAGCTTATCGGAGACATTTAACTTTAGCATCTATTGACTTCAAGTGCTGGATCCTAGGCTCCCAGGCCTGGCTTGCACTACCCGGCGAGCCTCTATTAAGGGAAAGGTATGTTCAGTCTCTCCCAGGTGAGCAGAAGCTGTTGCCAGCGGGCTAGGGCAGTTCCCTAGGAAGCACACCAAGGAAGCTAGGCATGTTGCATTAGCTAAGGCAAGTGAGCACTTTGCCCATGGTTTTCTGCCTCATGTGCCCACAAATAGCTGAACAAGGTTGCATTACACCTGGGTACATGCACTGGTCAACAGTGAGACTAACTTTTTGACGAGGTCTCTGCAAGTGGCCTGCAGGATCGCTTTACCCTTGCAAAAGCAGCAATAGGATGGCAGATTCCAGGCTCAGCTTGCCTTGTCGTGCTCAGCTGTGCCCAAGCCCTGCGTGACCTAAAGTAAATGGCACGTGGCAATACCTAGGTGCACGGAGGCAGACAAGCTCAGGCCACCAGAAACCCAGGCCACCTTGGCACGCTTCCTAGAGAGCTGTTCCAGGCCCTGGAGCAGCCGATGCACCACAGACAGAGCGATTCTGCAGCCTACACACACAGATACTTGATGTATTCATCTTGGCAACGCTTGTCAGCCTTGTCATGCCCATCCTGCTCCCCAAACGGAATTGGATGCGATGTCAATCCGCGCCATTGCTTGGGGTGCTGGCAGGGGCTGCAGGCGGGAGGTGGGGTCTCGCTGCACGGCTCCTGCTGACACAGATGGCACCTTTCGTGCCAGCCGGCCGCCGTGCCCTGTAGCGTTAGCGAAGCTGTCAGGTGGCACCGTAGCAAACGGTGTTAGGATCTGTTTGAAGGTGTGAGTTCCTGGGCCTGGATCTACAGCGGTCTTTAAGCTGCTTCAGAGGCAGGTGCAGGACACCCATGCCTGTCATTTCTCACTGACCCTTGTCAATGCCTGGAAATTGGGGATTTTTAAAACCCTGTTAAATTTGTAACTGTTATGCATAAATTTGATGAGGTGTGATGCACCCCTGGTCTCTGTGGTTTTGAGCGAGCTCCACATGCAAAATCCTCTTTGCACGGTGCACGCTTAGTCGAGTTGGCTGCCTTTGTCTGTGGCTCGTGTCACTGCTCCTGGTTTGGATGCGATCGAAAGCTTCAGGGCACCGGAGTTTTCCCAAAATAGCCCGGGCCGGATGCAACGTCAGCACTTTGCGATGCCGAGACATGGATCTGTCCCCAGAAGATGAACTTTTCAAGGTGGAAGCCTGCTTGCAGCAGCCGTTCGGTGACATCTGAGCCTGTGCAGGCTCAGTCTAGTCTCCATTATATCCCCTGTGAGTGGGGAGAGGCCAGAAGCTTTGGGCTCTTCTGAGATGAATTGCTATTCTATGCTTGACATCTCCCATTCATGGCACCACTCCGGCGCTGGAGCACGGGCCTGGTGTGACAGAGAGGGCAGGAAAGTCCTCGGGAGAAAGCCTGGAGCGTCTATGAGCAGTGAGAGGGAACATGCATCTCGGCCGTACACCATACTTGCAAACAGAGCGCTTCATTCAGGCGCCGAGCTGAGGCCTGCCTCTGTTGGGAGAGCTGAGCGAGCCCTGCCAAGCGTCGGGGTCTTCATCCAGCTTTTAAGACGAACTTGCTGCAGCTGCATTTGTTTTCTGCGAACGCCGGAGCGAGCTTTACATTCACTCGTGGTGAAAAAGCAAAAACCATGTTCAGCTGTGATCTGGCATACTCTCCCCGGAAGCGATGCTGTGTGGTCAGCATGGGAAGAACGCGCCTCACGCCTCTCGCCTGGCTGGTGGGAATTGCTGCCCTTCCTGGCATCTTATCTGGCCAATAATTACATATATATAGGTATAAAGCACTCTTGCAACAGAGGCCACTAAATAACCCCGATAAGGATCTGACAGCAACCATGGTCTTCCCCAGGACGGATGACTCAGTTACTTAGGAGAATACGTTCAGAGAAAGCTGGCAGACAAGGGTCTTGGGGTAAATGCGATATATTGAGAGAGAGCTTAAGCTTGCTACCTGCGTGCAGCGCTGGTACCGCGTGCAATAGTCTGGGGGCCCTGGGGGTGGTACTTCAGGGCAGACCAACGAAACCCAGAAAGAGACTGAAAGCTCTGTGCAACATCCGTTTTCTGCAGCTGAGCCATCTCCATGGGAATGGTGTTGATGAACCAATCCCAACTAATAACGTGGCCTGAATTTTTGACAATCAATCGCTTTATTGCAGGTCTATCTGAAAGCGTAAACACTGGGGGCGGAAAAAAGCCTCTATAATTTGCCCAACAAACGCAGGCAGACTTTGGGACCCGCTCGCCAGCCTTTTTTCAAGCACAGCTTAATGAATGCGGCCTCTCAAGTACTTGCTGTGAATGATTTGCTGTGCTCGGTGACCTATGCGACGCTTGGGTTAGCTGGTGGCTGATCACCGTACGATGCCGCGTAGCAAGACAGCTTTGAAACGAGGCGCGATCGATAGGAAGGAAAGAGTCCCAAATCCCACTCAGCTAGTAGGCACTTGCATTTCTCGCGTAGGTCTTTGCCATGCATTTGCTAAATCAGGCGGTCTTTCCTGATGTGTCGCCGCCGCATGCAACGCCAGCACAACTGGTCCTGTCAGCCATTGGTGCAAGCCTCATTCACTGGGTCTTAGTCGCCCTTACGTCTGCAGGAATAAGGGCATGTAGCAACCCCACATAGATGGAGTAGGCTTTCAGCTGCAGAGGTGCATGGCTCAGCCCCCCGTGCATCATTCAGGATGGTGGCCACCACAGCTTCCTGATGCTCTGGCTTCCTGCCATGGCAATGGCTCTGCAGTCAGTATCTTGGCACCAGGCTCCTCTTCTCAACTCATTTGCTGGACTCTCTGCTAGACTCTGGAAGTGTTTTCCATCTGGCAGGTGGGGGTGAAGCTTGTGGGGGGGGCGACGGCTGTCTAAAGCTTGCAAAGCTGGCTGATACTTTGCTTTAGATATAAACATGCCCAGCAGCCATGGCAACGGGTGCATAATTATTACATGAAAGAAATATTAAATTTGGGCTTTGGCAGCGTGCGCACTATTTGCTTTGAAAATGGACCTAATTTGCTAGCACAGCTGTTCTTATCCGCGGTCTTGGGTAACAGGAAAACAGCTCTGTTTGGAAAAAATAAGGCCTTCCTTTACTCTTCCGCTATCTGGGCTTCACCTCTGGGAGCGTAGCTGCTGCGTGGGAAGAGCTCTGGGGCAGCGCTTTCTGTTGCTCCGCTGAGGCCTTCAATAGAAACATGAAGCCCCCCATCCCCACGCTGGTTTTACCTGGCCTTTGCTCCTCGTCCCAGGACCTCTCGCAGCTCTAGGACCGAGCCCTAAAGAAGGGAGACGACGGAGCATAACTGAACATGCACCTGTGTGCGATTTGCATAAGTATTTCTTCAGCCAAAGTTTGTGGAAAGGATCATTTGCCTTCTGCATCATGCTTGCCATCCGCAGCGTTTGATCTACAGCTGCCGAGGGGGTGCGGGGATGGTTTCCGTTGCTGTGCTCGCTGCCTGGAACAACCCCACCTTGGTTTGAGCAGACAGCACAAACAAGAGCCCAATCTGTTCGGAGGAAAATCTCTGGTGAAGTTTCCCAATAGGAACAGACCCTGAAAATATCAGTAGCCTTAGGCAGAGTGTGTGTAGGCTCGGAGCATGTACAGCCTGTAATGGATGGGAGAGCTCTCTCCTCTTCATCCTCCCTCTCTCCATCTGTTGATCTTCTGGAAGGCATGAACTGTGCGCCAGGAAGGGAGAGACGGGGAGAGCATCTACTCTGGGGTCCAGGTGGGGTCTGTGGGGGTCTCTGCCACAACTGAGCAGGACTTAAAACCTACAGCTTGGCTTATCCACAGGCACGTCCATTGGCAATGCAGATTTGAGGGACAGAATCGGACCCACGTGAGTGGAGAGTGAAGTCTACGGGCTTAATTTGCCTCTGCTCCCCGTTGCACCAAGGCAGCACCTGGCCTGTGACTCTTATGTGTTTGGTCCCTGTAGGCTGAAATGTGTCTACGTGCTCTCAGAGCTGCGTTGCTTGAAGATCTGGAGGAGGAAACTACTCTCTCTTTCATCCCTGTGTCACTAATTGTATAGGAAACCGAGACACTTGAATTCTTTTTGTGCTTCTGAAGCTTAAAATATCCAAGGGGAGGCTCCGCAGACAGTGCCGCGCTGCCGAGGCCACCGTGATTTTAGCAGCGTGCTTGCCCCTGCCGGTGTTTCGCCGGGGCGGTTGTGGCCGGAGTCTGTCTTGCTGTTGGGTCCAGCGGGTGACGGGCGTTGTGCCGCGGTTCGGCCAGATGGGCTGCTGCAGCTGGCGAGGGTGTTGTGCTAGACAGGGCTGTTGGTTTTGCACGGAACCGGTGCTTTGCGAACAGCCGGGGCCACGAATGTGGCACAGGCAGCTTCACGCCGTCACGCGTCGCTGTTGGCTGCCTGTCGTTCCTCTGGCAAGTCCTGCCTTCCCATTTGGCTCAGAAAGTGCTGCACAGCGCCGAGGATGTATTTAAGTCGGTGCTTTTGCCACCTTGTCTCATTCCCTCTCATTGCTGGCGAGGAGCTGGATCCGTAGCTCAGCCAGGACCTGCTCCTGTTCGTGTTCAAGCCGTGGTACGGGCGGTGATGGTTGGGGGGGGGCTCAGGCAGAAACACCAGCGTCTGCCATGGTGTCAGCAATGCAGAGCCTTAACGAGAGCTATTTACGTCGCTCGGCTTGGCGCGTGCAACCGTCCCTGGAGCCACCACGTAGGTCTGGCCTACTTCTCTGCAGGCCTCTGGACATCACGGCCTACATCTGTCACCGGTGCCGTTCGGCAGCGATTGGCGGAGCTGTGCCAGGGATGCACTTGGCCCGCTGGGGCAGACACTGTTTTATGCTCTGACCTGCTGTCTGGGCAAACCCCTTCCCCCTCATGATGAAAAGAAGAGAAGAGGAAGTTGAGCAAAAAACTTAGTCGTGTGGAACGAGACTGATGCAAAGCTGAGACCAGCTGGGTCCTTGCCCCGAAACACAAGCCCCCACATGGTATCTAGAGGGTTTCCCCATCTCTGGCTACCCATGCACACCTGGCATCTCCCACGTACAGCTCCGACTCTAGCGCTAAAGGTCAGGACCCCTTGGTGTGTCAGTGGGTTTGAAACCAGGCAAGAGGGATTCACCCATCCTGGCCAGGCACAGCCCCGCTCTGCAGCCCAGAGCCACGCTCCTGGTAAAAGCCTTGCGATGGTCTGGACAACGCAGAGCCCGAATCACGCCCGGGCCCATGACCCACCAGCCATGCGGTGAGAGCAGCTGTGAGCATTATTTATCCTGCACCCAGCTCGTGAGAGAGGCCACGTGTCCGCCCCACTCCCACAGACTGCAGCAAACCGCTTCTCCAAAGCAAGTGCTAGTTCAGAAAGAGCTCACTTCCCAAACCAGGCCCCAATTTGGTTTAGTTTGGTAAATCCGGTTTCTTAGAAGGCAGCTGACTTGGATCGTGTCACCCTTGGACAGCCCAAACCTGCCGGGCACTAAGCACTCTTCCCTACTAGGGAACCCGAGGGGAGCTGGGGACGTGCAGGACCGCAGGCCCGTCGTGCCTTTTTGCTGCAGCTGCTTTTGTCTGGGGTTTCTGGGTTAGCAAAGCATTTAAGAGCACTGCAGATCCTGTAATGCAATATCCTCATGTGGAAACCTTTGCAGCGCGGGCGTCGAGTTTATGGAGTGGAGAATATGTACTGATGGGGAAGTGGCTGGAGTGAGTTACAGTGCTCCCAGCCCAGGAAAGAGGCATGGGCACAGACAGCGATAAATCCAGGATCCCAGGCCAGGGCCCAGCATTACCCTCCCTGCTGCTTTTCCAGCCTGGGAGATTAGCCTGCGTGATTACTTGTACCGCACAAAGTTTTGTGTTGTTAGAGACTTGCTTTTCCCCGTTCCACCTTTCCAAGAGGCCAAGGCCGAGCGTCTGGGAAGGGGTTACGTGCTAATTGCTGGGGGCTGCGGAGTGCCTCCATACCTCCCAACGAAAATAGCTTTTCTTCAAAAGCAATTTAAAGTAACAGGGGAAGGAGGAGGGTCAGGGTTGCTAAGAGGCCCGTGCGCGGTGAAGGAAACGTGCAGCTGGCTCGAGCACTTGGACGGCGGCCCTGCTGTCACTGGAATGAGGCTTGGGGCTGGCACAGGGGCAATGCAGAAATAACTCGCGGGGGGCTATGCTTGCTGCTTCCCCAAATGGGAATGGCTGGGGAGGAATGTTAGCAGGTGCTTGCTATTAAAAAAGCCCTGGGAAGTTGTGCCGAAATTGCCCGGCTTCTCAGAAGACGCTGGTGGGTTACAGCAAGGGGGTAGGTCATGGATGCGACGCCAGCAGAAAGCACATGCGGTTCCCCCAGATATCGTCCCCTCCTCCCATGCCACCGGCAGATCTGCTGCTTGTAGCCCAGCCCGGGAGCGCTGACCCCAAGCTCCTTCGCTGGGGAGATCTGGATGGAAGGGCCTGGAAGTTGAGCCGTGCCAGTCCGGTACACTCGGTGGGGATGGGGCATCTAGTCTGATGGCTTTACCCAGGATGGGCCGTTTGCCCTTCTCTGGTGCAGTAGGAAAACTTCTCTATAATATTATTTCCCCTGCTCCTCTTCTGGCACTATGTGGTTGCAGCCCTCTCACCTGCACAGGAGAGCTGTGCGCGCCTTCTAGCCCCACCGCAGTAAACGGAGCAAGCAGCATAGAAGAGTTGGCCCGTGCATTAAACCCGACACCAGCACCGAGCCAGCCTTATGCGTCTGCATCTGAGAATTCAGCACTTTCTAGGATTCAAATGACTGGTAATCTAGAGACTTGATGATTCCCTGCATTTCCCATCCCAGGGATCAGGGTTACAGCTGGCTAGAGAATGGGGTTTTATTCTGCAAAAATATTGCTAACAAGACTTTTTTTTTTTTTTTTTTAACTCCTTTTGCAGCGGCGGGGGTGGGGAGGTAGAAACTCCAAGCTGAACATTTAAGGTTTCAGCCACCAGGACCTGAAGCACTTTCAAGTGTGGGGAGTTTTGGTTTTTTTCCGTCTAAAAAAAGAAAATTGAGATGCCGTGCTAGAAGCACCTGCTTCAGCTCGAGCTCTCATTTGGCCATGCTCCATTTTCCACTGAAAATAAAGCATTGGTGATTTGTGATCAGCCCTAACGAGCAGGCCTGGCTTTTGCACATGCCTTCTCCTCCCCCCCCATCCGGGCAGTAAGGCGTGATGTGGAACATCTGCCCTGGGGCTGGGCCTGGAGATGGGAGAGGGGGAGCGGCGGGTGGGATGGACCCTGGCAGGTTGGACTCTGATGCTGCTGGAGGGCACCAGAGCAAACTCGAGGGGTTGAAATGGGGCTGTGTTCCCCCGTAGGGTGCTCCCCAGCCACGCCACGCTGCTCTGACACTGGTCCCAGCTGAGCCCAAATCGGGGTGGGGAGTGGGAGCCCTGCATGCACACCAGTGACCTTGAGCAGGAGGAGCAGGGTTGCTTAATCCCTACAGCAGAGCAAAATTACTGTCACTTTCCCAGCTGCAAAGTGCTGATGCCCGCTGTGGTCACACAACTGGGTTCCTGATAATGGAGGGACAGTTACCGACACAGAAGGAAAAAGGGAACTCAAAGACAGGAAGAGGAGCGAGACCGTGTCCACTCCAGATCCGTGCGCCGTTCACAATCATTAGGCAGGAGTGTGAGCCAGGCATCTGGGAGGTGCCCGGGTACCAGGTGGGTAGCATGAGTGCCTCAATTAGAGGGTACAGCTTGGCTGGGGCAACAAGCTGTGTGTGGGCTGGGTATTAGTTGCCACCCCCCCCAAAAAAAAACAAACAAAAAACCCCGCACAAAACCAACCCCACAACTGATACCAAGTGAGGCAACCTGCACCAACGTGACATGAACCGTGCAAGCCGGGGCGATGCACATCCCAGCACACTGAGGGCAGAGGTTAGGCAAGGAGCAGGAGGGGCCAGGACCGCAGGTCTCCCTGCGCCTCCTGCCCGTGAGCCCCAGGTTGCACGGCAGTGGAGGGGCACAACCGCTCTGTTTTCACTTGCTAAGCACCTCACATCAGCGGGGCCGCAACACCTCAGGCTGTGTCCTTGCTGCCCGCAGCCCCTTATGCCCTTTGCTGCTTCTCACCGGGGAAGAGGAACAAAAACGGGCACCAGGTGCTCGCAAAGCAGCTCCGCAGCCTTGAGGGGGCTGGGGCTGGCACCCCGCTTCCTGCCACCGTCAGCCTGCCAGCCACGCCAGACGTCTCCAGCCCCTTTAATTCCCAGCTCTCTCCCCAGCCCCTGCTGTAGTGCTGCAGTAATTATAGGTCAGCGTGCAGAGGAGTATTTTGGTGCACCCGAGTCGAGTGGCTGGAAGAGATTTGCATCGCGGGAGGCTGATGGGAGCCAGACTCCAGGGAAGGAGGGGGTAGGGAGGGAAGGGACAGGTTCAAGGTTACAGACAAAAACCCTCCTGCCAGGAAGGGGAGGCAGATCCTACGGGGGAGTCCTCACTTACCTGCCCAGCTGTTGAAGGAGAAGAGGAAGAGCGAGGTCAGGCACCAGACAGGGCAGCGGGAGGCAGCGGCGAGAGGCTCCATCGCTGGCGGCTGGCAGGGCCGAGGGGGAACAGTTGCACAGAGGGGCTGGGTGCTGGTCCGGGAAGGTCAGAGGCAGAAGGAAATTACGCTGTCCGCAGCCCGCAATGAGGAAGAAGAGCCGGGCAGCTCAGCCTGCAGGCGCAGAGCACACGCGTGTTACCAAGGCACGCGATTCAAGCACCCTGCACTGACCTGCCCACGCGTGTCGAGGGCGGGACCTGGAACCTCGGGCGCCGACGGAGAGGAGCCCCCTCGCTCCCCGTCCAGCCACGGGCACCGGTGGCGATGCGCCCCCTCACTCCCCATCCAGCAACCCCTTCCTGGCGGTCCCCAGGCACCGGTGGCGATGCGCCCCCTGGCTCCCCATCCATGGCCCCCTTCCCAGCTGGGGTGTCCCGGCGGGGGGGGGCAATGCCGCAGCCCGGGGCCACCTTGGGATGCCCAAAGCCGAGCGGGGTGGCCGCCC